TGTATCCCCTGACAACATGTACTAGGATCAAGAACGGGTGGGAAATAATTTTTGCCCGGGGGGGGGGGGGGCAGGGGAAGTTTCTGAAGGGGCAGGGTCACGGGTGGAAGGGATGCAGCCAGGACATTTCTGTATTTCCATGCCCACAGACCCTGATTGGCCTGGGGGCCGGGAACATGTGTTTGCTCCCGCCCTCCCAGAGAGAACCGCCAGCTGGTCTGGTTGGTTGACTCTAAGCATCATGCACCATTGGTAGGGGAGGAGACTTTGCGCGATCCCCTGTCCCCAGGCCCTGATTGGCCTGTGGGTGGGGAAAGCAGCAGGGCAGTCGCAGGCCAGATCCAGCCTGTAGAGGCCTTTTTTGCCCACCCCAGATTTAGAAATAATTTAACACTTCTCAGAAAGATTTGCAGAAAGATTCACCAAAGGACACCTCTTGTTATTATTTGCCTTTTCTCACTTGTATCAAGACATAACCAAGTATTATATCAAGTACTGTATCAAGTATTTCATTAGAATAATTAATGCAGAATACTGCAGTCTGACTTGGAAAATGATTTCACACACTGTGCAAACTTTTATCTTCAGCATGTTTAATCCTTATGGATGATTGATTTTTTGTTTTAACATTTTCTCCCCATTCCTTTTCCTACAGCATAAGAGTGCTACTTACTCTGTGGGGATGCAAAAGACATACTCCATGATATGCTTAACCATGGAAGAGGATAAAATCACCAAGACCAAGAAAGCCACTCCAAAATTGCCCTTTCTAAGTTGGGGAGCCAAAAATAGGGAGAAGGCTGCAAGCACCCTGTGCCTTCCTTCTGCTGTAGCTGGCATTTCTCAGCCTAAGAAGAAATTTTCTTCTCGTTTGACTGTACTGAACACTGAAAATGAATTGTACTGAGTCTTTAAATAGAAGAATCTGTTTAATGTGAAGTTATATCTAAATTTAGAGGAATCTTTGTGTATATGCCAGAAATGCAAAACATATATGTAAAGGGTTAGATGCTAATATTTTACAGCAGTGTAAATAGATACTAACTCTATTGACAAATAGTATAGTTACTAAGCATTTACACCAGTGTAAACTGCAGGTCAATAAGTGCAAAACTAACTTTAAAAATGAATGGTTTAGAATCTGAACTTACATGTAGTGTTTGATCAGAACAGAAGTAGTTGTAGGAGGTATTGGGGAATCGTGTTTAAAAAACAAAACTTTAGCTCAGGCGTGAGGAACCTTTTTTGGATTGGGGGCCACTGACTCACAGAAAAATCATTTGGGGGCTGCACACAAGTTAGAAGTCAATCCCCTCCCCCCCATGTGGCACCACCCCCAACTGAGGAAACATGCTCCTCACATTCCCCTTGCACACTACAGCCTAGTGGGGGCTTAGGCTAGTAGATCTTGTGTGCTCCAGTCCTGCAGTAGGGTGCAGACTCCCCAATGCTGGGGGTGGAGGGGAAAGAGTCCTGAGCCTCAGGGGCCGCATCCAGGCACACGTGGCCCCCAGGCTTGGTTCCCCACTCCTGCTTTAGCTTAAACTGGACTCCTTGGGAATTTCAATTGGGGGTATTTCTATGCACACCATAGATGGGAGTTATTTATTGCTGTATATATAATAGTACTAGTCATAAAATGAAGGATTTTTTTAAATTTAAAGGCTTAATAAACACAGAAATTGATAAGCATCAATTTAAACTTTCTGAACAAACAGCAAGAATAGACAGGCTTGATAGAGCTATTATTGAGGGTGAAACTTACCCGATGCAAACGAACAGTACAAAGCCTACCTATCATGTAGCTCACACTTGAGCATCATAAGTGGCTTATGTAGAAAATAAGTGAATTTTGCTGTAGGAAAAGATAATTGCAATGGCTTAACCATCAAAAGGGAAGCACACTTCAACTACAAGAGAGTTTGACAGCCCTAATTTTTAAAAAAATTCAAGATTCACTTCTAATGTCTTGCTAAATTCATTAGAAACAAGGTTTACCTCCAACTTAAAAATAATTTAACTCAAAGTAAAAGCTTTTTGTTTAGCCTTGTTAAAATCAGTGCTCAGTGTGTAAAATCTCACACTTATAGCTAAAATAACCATTGATTAACAATACGGAATTTATTATGACACTTTAAAAGTATGTAATTTAAAAATGGGTTTTCAGTCACTCAGCATTAAGTCATTTATATATTACTAAGGGGCTGTACCCTCGATTTGCTATGCTTGCCTACGCCCCGCTGGCAGCTGTCACTTCTCTGAGAGAGCCTGTTGATGTCATTCTTGTTGCCTGGCAGGAACATTCTGTCATCCAGCAGGAAAAACTTTTTTATATATTGAGAGAGAGATAGTGCCAAATGAGACCAGGGCGCTTTATGAATGTACAGGGGAGCTGACAGCCACGCAGGGCCTCTCGGCAAGGTATCGAGAGTGGAGGGGGAAAAGGAGTGTAGCTCTGTGCTCCAAGAAAGGGCAGGTGGCCCTCAATACTATGCAGACCATGACACTTTCCTCTCTATAGTGCTGTGTGGAGTGCACCACATATGCCCCTTTCTTCCTAGGGGCTCCACCTGCAATTGTCCCATTTGCCTCGTTTGTGAATGTAAGAGAATAAGGAGCTCACACTGCAAGTTGCCAAATCCTTCATATCAAACTATAAAGCAAATTGGGAAGCCATCTAACATGTAATTGTGTGTTAATTTCCTTGAGAGAATATTTGGCTACGTCTACGCTGGCATGATTTTGTGCAAGAACTCTTTTGCGGAAGTTCTTGTGCAAAAACTCTTCCAGAAGAGAGCGTCTACACTGGCATGTGCCTTTGTGCAAGAGATGTGCTTTTGCGCAAGAGCATCCTTGCCAGTGTAGATGCTCTCTTGCTCAAGAAAGCTTTGATGGCCATTTTAACCATAGGGCTTTCTTGAGCAAGAAATTCATGTTGCCTGTCTACACTGGCCTCTTGCGCAAGAACAGTTGCGCAAGAGGGCTTATTCCTGAGCGGGAACATCATAATTCTTGTGCAAGAAGCACTGATTTCATACATTAGAACGTAAGTGTTCTTGTGCAAGAACTCGCGGCCAGTGTAGACAGGCAGCAAGTTTTGGCGCAAAAGCTTTTGTGCAAGATCGCGCCAATGTAGACACACGGCCTTTGTGTTTATATATTTTGATTGTTTTAAAGTTGCTAACACTGTAGTGTTAGACCAAGATGCTATCTACAGAGTAGATGTATGCTGTTTGATACTCAAAACACTAAACTAATAGGAAAAAAGTGTACATGTACATCTTGACACCATGGGTATAATTTAACTCATGTTTGGTTTTGTGTTATGACAGATGTAAATATGTTAGATTTAAAAGCTTATTTAAGAATAAAAAATCATGTTACCATTTAGTAATGCCTTTTTTGCTTCTGCTACTGATTAGATGAAACAATGTAACTACAAGTGTTTCACAGTTGACTTTATTTTGAAGCTATGTGCTAACAGACTCCTCTTTATAAAGAACATTTTTAGCAGACCGCTTTCTTAAGTTTGACTTTAGTTGAGCTATATTGCAAATAACACTAAAACTAGCAACATTACAAAACAAGTATTATAAAAGTTTTCCAGAGTCTTGGCATCATCCTGCAGCCCTGCACACCACTTGAAGTGGCCAGGTGTGGAAGCCATTTGCTTTTCTGCGAGATGTGCCCTCTGGGGAGGAGGGATGGCTGTGTGTTCTCCCCAGTACAATCTCATAGCTCCCATTGGCCAGTTTCACAGAGAAACATGCAGGACTGTTGCCAGCTGATTTGAGCAATATGCCACAAGAAGGGAGCCTGCCCTGAGTCTCGCTGGAGATGCCTAAGATAAGTGCCTCCTGGCTAGAGCCTGCACCTACTCTGCCTCCCACCCAACCCTCCACTCCCCTTCCTGCACTCCTGCCCCAGGTCACGATCCAAACCCTCTGCACCCCATCTTATACCCTTCCTCTAGCTCCCTTCTGCGCTAATGGAAGAGTGTGGCCCTTGATCACTTAGCAAGTTCTTGGAGTGCCCCCCATCAAAAATTATTGCCCACCCCGCATTCAGATTAAGGATGTTAACTAGCAATTAATTTACTACTCGACTAGTTGATGGAATTTCCATTGACTACTTGACTAGTCAATACAAGCACATCTTCTGCCTTTAAAATGTACAAGAATCCCACCGGGGACTTTTATGCATTTCAGAGCCGGAACACCACATAGAGCCCATGGCCAGCGGGAAGTCCTGCTGACTTCAGGCTCCACGTGGGCGCTTCCACTTCGAAATGCGCAAGAGCCCAAGCAGGGAACTCAGTCCCCCTTGGGACTCTTGTGCCAGCTTTGAAATGTACTCTGCACAGAGTCCAGGGTCTCCCCAGTTGATCCCGGGCTCCAAGTGGCACTGCCGCTTTGAAATGCCAAGGTCCAGCTGACCTCTGGCTCCACGCTGTGCTGCTGCTTTTAAGTTCTCCCCTCTTCTCCCTTCCCCTTGCTGCCTCTTCCCTCTCCCTTGCTGCCTCTATCAGATAAAGGCAGCAAGAGGGAGGGGAACTACTAGTCAACTATACTGTCAACTAGTCTCTACTTCAGATGTTCATTTGCTCTACTTAGAATTAGATTGCCATCTTGTGGCAGGCTAGGAAAGACTAAATTTCAAATGGACAGATGCAGAACTTTTACATTTATGCAGGCTGCAGTCAGTGGAGGGTGATACACTACCAATTGTTGATATCTTGATAGTCCATGGAATAGAACTGAATAATGTGCTGTTGCTGTATCCTCCTACAATACATTATATTTATGAAGTCACATTTGTGGATCTTTAATATTTTCATAACCTTCAGCCTAACTCAATAGTGTTCATATACATATTCCCTTGGGTTCACTTCATCTTCATAATTTAATCTTATTAGCAAAGTAAACATATCAGCCCACACCGTACCAAATCATTTTTCAAAACTGACATTTTCTAGGAACTAGCAGAAGATTCACTACAGCTCATCTCAACTAGTTTATTTTTAAATGATCAAAACTATTAGGAGTTACATCAGTCATCAATTCTACAGCAAATTGTATTTGAAAAATAAAGGGTATTTTTGTGTGCAGCACAAAAACTGTCTGACATGTAAGGATCTTAGCTCCAAAGTAATTTTTAATCAAGGCTCTAAGGATATCTATGGCTCTTATCCAGTCCTGGAAATAGAGGTTTGCAATAGATTAGAAACTTCTTGCTTTACATAATTTACTGAAATCAGCCATTTGAAATTTAAAAAAATGCTTGTCATGATTGCCAGGCAATATACAGAGTGGAGGTGGTGGTGGTGGGGCGTGTCAGTCGGCTCAGCAGAATCTGGTATGCGTGGGGTGCCAGTTTCATGTGCCCTTGCTTCCCCTGTTGATGCCTCTGATACAGAATGAGGGGGCTGCATGTAACTCATTGATTAACCTTGTACATTAACATCCCTACTCCAAAGTAATAAACCATGGACTCAGAATTACATCTTTTACTTATGCTAGACCCATTAAAATGAACAGAACAAAATGGCATGACCAAAAAGGCATCTAATCTTGGGCCCAAATGAGGTTTACAGAATTAAAAAAAAAAGCAAGAACTCAGATACAACAGAATAAAATACAACTCACTCACAATGAGAAACTCAAATGATTCCTTGACAACCACCATAAAACTGAACTCAGAACACTAAATATAAAAGGCCAGATCCGAACTTGTAAATGCAGATATACAGACAAACATCCACAGAAGATCTGGCAATGTAAGCAGAGTTTATATTGGGGGGGAATAACAGGTGGTGGGGGTGGATCTATAACATAGGGAGAAGGCTGAAATCTCAAGAGCCCTGCTCATCTCCTTTCAGTTGCTGATTGCAAGTGACAGTGGTGCCCTCAACATAGGAATTCATGCTTGTATTGTTCTATAAAAACAATTCCACCCATAAAACTCAGAGATTACTTTCCACTTCCAAAGAGGAAAGCCCTCACATTTGTCTGAGATATTAATGAGCTAATGTCACTTTGTCTGTGAAAGGAAAGCATGAATTTGTTGTGCTATTGCTTGTCCTACTACTAGCTCGAGGTCCTGGACAGATGCATTGCAAAGCTGGTGGATGCTTACAAACTGCTGTAGTAGAAGTAGAGCTTTTGTTTTCCCAACACCTGGAATCTGCTGGACTGTTCGAAGTATTGATGGCTCCAGTAGCTGGGAACATTTTTTACGAAGAAAGGGGTTACTAGTCTGATCTTTACTTTGCTCATGGACCTGAAACAAAAGAAAGTAGAAGCTGAGCTCCACTTAGCATAGCCCTGATTTGTTTTTCTTAAGTCATTTCATTATAGAGAATTTACTCTTTAATTTAAAGCACTTCTATCTATTTACCAGTTAATATGCAGTTTGAGAGTAAAATGCAATGTAACTAAATTCTACCACTTAGCTGAAAGAGATAGAGCCATGAGAAACATAAAGGGAAGAAAAGTGGAATTATACAGTTGGCTGGATGCAGGACGAAAACAGGGCAGATCAGAGGAGGGCAGTAGCTGTTCTCAAAAAAGCAGATCTAAATTTTGTTATAGCACCTAGGAGACTTCACATTCTTCATACTCACCCATTCTTAAGAGCAAAAGAGGTTACTGACACCGTTTCTGCAGACACTACCACAGCCTTGGGCTGCCCTCCCCTTATACTCCAAGAAATAGATTCTTTGTAAGCTTGCAAAAGACTCAGATGTCAAAATGTAGGCATGTAGTTGATTTTACAAATTATGCAGTGTTGAGAGCAGATTAAATATTCTTCCTTGGAATACTTATTCAAAAGCTTCATGAAATTTTGCATGAATCAAGAAAAAAAAGGAATGTCAATGGAATACGCCTCAGAAAATACACAACAGAATTGTTTAAAATCTGAGTGCTGATCAGTCATCAGTTCATGTTGATTAAAATGGAGTCCTACTCTTAAGAAGAACACTAAAAGTGGCATATTTAATGTATTCCCAAGATTTCCCAATTAACCAAGTTGACCAAAAAAAAAAAAAAAAAGGGTTTTCTAACTGCTGCCCACAATCTGAGGTCTGAAAGAAGACATTATTTTCATTTCACTCAGCAACTTGTAATAAAGATTCTAAGGCCAAACAATGTCCTCTCTACAGATGTACAACTTTGTCTTCAGATTTTTCACTGGTAACTGCAAACCTCATGGTCTCTTCACAACTGTAACTGGTTAGTCTGTAATTCAAGTTTAGTACATGTTTCTGCTGATGGTGCACAAGAAGAAAAAGAATCCAGATTACTCTCTACAATTCACTGACTCAAATACCAGCAGGAGCAAAGGGCAGTATAAATTATTTCTGACACAAAGGAAAGCAAATATGACCCTGAAAATATACTGGGAGCAGTCAGTTTTCATAGTAAAACTAAATTTTACTACATCAGATCAGTGTTGTATTTTTTCTGCTGAGGCTTTCATTCCTGGGGTCTGCTTTGAAGCAACTCTTTAAGCAGAGCTTTGTCTTGCCTGACCTTTATTACCAACACTTCAATTGTTTGTGATTCCTTCACAATGAAGTGTTTTTGATCAACCAATCATTTTGGTCAGGTGAACATGCATTTCCCATTAATGTAGATGAGGGCATGCCAAGTCTTAAGGAAACATCTATTTTTTTCCTATCATGAAGTAGTTCTCAGATCCCACCGTTTGCTGCTTTCTACTACATCAGACAACAGATAAATGAACAATTAAGCAAGTAGAAGAATAGCAGTCAGACAACAAATATAAAGACAATACTTCTAGCCTGAGAAGACAAAGCCCTAAACATGCACATACTGGACAAAGATTTTCAGTGAAGAAAACTTGCTGAAACATTTCAATGACACCTCTTATGCCCACGTGTAGAATCCAAGTTCAGTTCCCCCCAAGTTTGATCCTTTGATTCTTAAACTGGCATGGAAGTGTTAGAAGTGACAAGAATGGAGTGGTAAGTTTTTTGTGACACCTCTCTATTCTGCAGTCAATGCTCAATGCAGCATTGAAAATCCAGGAGAGGATCATGTCTAACTCTTAACTCAGAATACAAGTTGCTGAGACATGAAAAAAGCAACACATTTTCAGACGTGTATCAATGTTTACTCACTGGTAGAGACCCTAATACTTACTAGCTGGATAATAAGTTGAGATGCTTCTTCCTGATTGGCCACTGGAAGCAATGTCATTCCAAGTTCTAGCACAATAAATTTCTGCACTGCTGGAAAGTATTGATCACTTATCTGGGTTTTTTCAACTAACACAATTCCATGAAGACTGCTGGCCTTTGAAAAAGAGAAACAAAAGTGAGGTGAAACAAATCATACATCTAGTACAGTGGTCACCAACCAGTAGATTAGGATATACTGGTAGATCTTGGAGCCTCTGACAGGTGATCCTGACTGGTTTGGCTGGGAGGCACTTCAGCTGCCCCTCTCCCCACTGCCCTGCTGCTCCTGCCTAGAGCCTCAGAGCCGCCTCCTGGGAGCCTCCTGCTTGTTTTGCAGGGTGGGAGAGACAGGCAGGAGGCACTAATGTCACTCTCTCCCGCTCCCCTACACCCCATCTTCACAGAGTGAGGAGGATGGGGCCTTGGCAAAGGGGTAAGGGCAAGGGCAGGGCCTCAAAGAAGGGGCGGGGCAAGGGTATTTGGGTTTGAGGTAGATCCTGGACTGACAAATTCAAAAAGTGATCTTGTGCTTAAAAAGATTGGAGACTACTTATCTAGTAATACTTCTCCAATGGGCCTGCTCATCAGGCAGTCAGTATTCAAGAAGGTGGAGAGAGAAAGGTACATGAAACACCCCCTTCTACATGAACCTAAAAAGAAGTCAATATGTGTCTAGGCATGAACCACAGTATTTGCTGGAATACTTTAGTTGAAATTCTAGAAAACAAAAGTGGTTACACAAATTTAGTGCATGCTCGGTCAGTTTTCAGATGGAAAGCTTTCTATTAATGAATTCAAGTACAATAGGATAGAAAATAGCCATAAAAAATCTGATTATTACATTTTTTTCTATTTTTAAAGCTTGGAATAATGAAACTCTCTTATTAATGTGGATTCTTCTGTTAAGGGGTAAAACCCTAAGGTTTTGTGATGTGAGCTTTATCTCCGTCTCCTTTCTAAACTTCATGTAGAACTTACATTTCTAAACCGAACGAGACGTCTTTTGAAACCATTTCCTGCCACCAAATCTGCTTCAGAAATATATAAAATGCAAGATCTGTTTGAAAGATGAAAATCCACAAGTCCTAAACCATCTTCAAGAATTACCTTAATTTTCCCTTAAAAATAAGATTGGAAAAAGAAAATTGTAACAATACAAAACAGTTTTATATTGCCTGGATATTTTTTCATAAAAATACAGGAACTTAATGCCCCAATCCTGCAAACATTTATGCATGTGGTTAAGTCTCACTGACTTCAAAAAGCTTGTTTGGCTATATGGTGTATATCAGGGCTACTTTAGAAGCCCTGAGGGCCACAATGATACCCATAGCACATGCCAAGGGCTGCAATGTACATGCAAATATATGCAAATAGGTGTTCACACTGCTAGGCTTGAATACAGAGATTAAGGCAAAACTACACAACATACAGGCCTTATTAAAGTCAGTTCTATTGATATTAATAAAATGCACTATTTACCTGATTTACCCATATGACAGCACTTTTAATGAGCAGTGAAAGTACAGGAATTTAACTACTAAAACACATATCAATAGAAGACCGTTATATTGACTACTTTTTTTGTTTTGGCTCTCACCTGCGGGCTGCGTGTTGAGCCCATGTAAACCCAAACCACACCACGGGCTACAAACAAATGGGCTGTGGGCCGCGTGTTGAGTAGTCCTGGTGTATACCTTACTAGGGACATAATAGAGTAACTATGCAAATGATTAGCAGCTCATGCTTATTGGTTGCCATAATGGTTACACGCCTGCTCCTGAGAATCCGGCTTCCACCCCATACTGCTGCCTCTGTATCAGACCCTGCAGTAGGTAGCGGCAGCCAGCTCCCTGCGAGTGTGGCCAGGAGCATGGCTGGGAGCTGACTTAAAAGTAGGGATGTAAAAGTGTACACATGCAAATGGACTCATTAGTTAGCCTGGGCTCATCGGCTGTATGCAGCCCCCTTCACCCATGCTGCTGCCTCTGTATCAGCCAGGAGCTGCCCAACCATTGTGTAATTGAATAAATGCTAAAATTGTCAGCGATTACAAACTTATCGTAGTAACTGCAAAGCTGGCTCCCAGTGCACACTGGCTCCCTGGGAGCTGGACGGCAGATGGGAGCCAGCTGTCATCCCATGTTGTTGCCTAGCGCAGGGTAGTAGCCAGCTCCTCAGGAGTGGGGCAGCATGCGGATCCAGTGCATGCTGGGAGCTGGCTTCCAACACACATCGGCTCCTGGAAGAGTTGACTGCTGCCCCATGCTGCTGCTTCTGATACACTAGCATATACTGGCTGCCGGCCCCACTCTTGGGGAGCTGGCTGGGCTGCAAAGGCTGCAATGTGTAACCATGTAACTGATAATATTTTTCACAGTTACCTAATTAACTGCTTTTTAATATCCCTCTGTCTTACAAAAGCTTTCATTCTCCTCTGACTATATATTTTCTATGTTGATGTCAATCTGTATCCTTTAAAAAATGGAGCCTCCAGTTCTGCAAAAATGTGTATTATTTGTACTAGTATAGCACCTACGAACCCGAGTCACAGGCCAAAACCTCCCCATGGTAGGCACTGTATACAGAACAAAAAGGGCAGTTTCTGTCCCAAAAACATACAAACCAATATAAGACAAGGGCTGGAAACAGACAAGAGAGTACAAGGAAATAGCAAGACAATGTCGATCGGCATGATAGGTGGTGGTCTCAGCATATCAGTAACCCAACTGCTACCCACAAAGTTCCTGTTAATCAGTTAAACGTCAGGTTGATTTAACGTTTAACTGGTTAATTGGCTGAAGTGGGATCCCAGCCCCCAAGTCCTGCATTGGGGTGGCTGCTGGCTCCCAAACCCTGCCTGCGGGACTGCTTTGGATGAGAATAGCCCTTTTCAGCGGCAGACCCCCTGCAGGGCTGGATCAGCTCCCTGCCTGCAGCAGGTGAGGAACTGCTCCAGCCCCCACAGGTTACCAGTTAACTAGAACCGGTAAGCACCATCCTAATTGGGTAATACTTAGCAGTTAACTTTTCACATCCCTGTGTGGAACCTTGATATAAAGCAGAAGGACATAATGAAGGAGTAATTATAAAAGTAGAAGAAGCAGGAGAAGACAGTCACAGACACCAGGAGAGAACATCAGCTCAGTTGACAGTGTTAAAGGTGTCTGACAGATCAATGAGGATGAAACATTGGTTCTGAGATTTGGGTCAGAAGAGGTCATTAAAGAGTTTGGCAAAAGGGGTTTCAGTTGAGTGCAAGAGATAAAAACCAGAGTGGAGATGGTCTAGCATGGAACTGGAGAAGAGAAGCTCCAAACAGCAACTGTAAACAGCCTCACACAACAATATTAGAGATAAAAGGGAGAAGGGGTGGTAGTTAGAGAAGTGACATCTATGGTGTTTTTAAAATGGGAAAGACTGAAGTATGTTTGCATTGTGAGGAAAAAGAGTAAGAGGGGAGTAGAAGGCTGGCATTACTCATGTTAATATCTACTCAGTTCAGTAAATCATATTCTGAACAAAACTAGGCTTTTTGTTATGACTTCCCGCTAAACTTCTAAGTGATTCTAAAAGCATTTCCCAGATATGGCTTTATCATGAACACAAACCCACTAATGTGGATGCTATACCCATATAGACTCCAAGGTCAACAATTGGGGTCTACTTTCATGGTTCCATTTGCAGGACCAGAGTCTGCATTTGCAAAGAAATGACTTCTTACTCAGGTTACTGGCAGATTCTCATTTGCATTGTACAGGCTGTGTGATTGGACTGAAGCTAGGATATGGAAAACAATGCTATGATGGAAAAATAGGAGCTTTTAAACCAGTAGGCTACGTCTACACCGGCATGATTTTCCGGAAATGCTTTTAATGGAAAAGTTTCCGAAAATGCTTTTAACGGAAAAAGAGCGTCTAGATTGGCAGGATGCTTTTCCGCAAAAAGTGCTTTTGCGGAAAAGCAAAGTGTCCGTGGCCAATCTAGACACGCTTTTCCGCAAAAAAGCCCCGATCACCATTTTCGCGATTGGGGCTTTTTTGCGGAAAAGAAATCTGCTGTCTACACTGGCCCTTTTGCGCAAAAGTCTTTCGAAAAAAGACTTTTGCCCGAATGGGAGCATCCTAGTTTTTCCGCAAAAGCACTGACAATCTTACATGAGATTGAAACAAAATACAGGACTATGTAGTACTTTAAAGACTAACATGATAGTTTATTAGATGATGAGCTTTTGTGGGTCAGACCCACTTCCTCAGATCAAATAGTGGAAGAAAATAGTCACAACCATATATACCAAAGGATACAATTAAAAAAATGAACACATATGAAAAGGATAATTCACATTTCAGAACAGAAGGGGGGATGTGGGGGGGGGGAGGGGGAAAGGTAAATGTCTGTGAGCTAATGATATTAGAGGTGGGGAAAGGTAAATGTCTGTGAGCAAATGGTATTAGAAGTGATAATTGGGGAAGTTATCTTTGTAATGAGTAAGATAGTTAGCGTCTTTGTTGAGACCGACACTAACTATCTTACCCATTACAAAGATAGCTTCCCCAATTATCACCTCTAATACCATTAGCTCACAGACATTTACCTTCCTCCCCCCCGCATCCCCCTTCTGTTCTGAAATGTGATTTGTCCTTTTCATATGTGTTCATTTTTTTAATTGTATCCTTTGGTATATATGGTTGTGACAATTTTCTTCCACTATTTGATCTGAGGAAGTGGGTCTGACCCACGAAAGCTCATCATCTTATAAACCACCTTGTTAGTCTTTAAAGTGCTACCCAGTCCTGTATTTTGTTTCAGCTACACCAGACTAACGTGGCTACATTTCTATCACTATTTTACATGAGATTTTCAGTGCTTTTGCGGAAATTCAAGCGGCCATTGTAGACAGCTGGCAAGGTTTTCCGCAAAAGCAGATGATTTTGCGGAAAAACTTGCCAGTCTAGACGCAGCCGTAGAGTAGCAGTTTTACTTTAAATTCTATACAGGATCAAGCAGTTTGCTTGATTAGTTGGAATCAGTATTAAAACCACTTGGAAAAGAGTTATTCTATATGTAGACTAGTTTGTACACGTTGGTGCTTTAATTACATGCTTACCTTGTAATCCTTGAGCTATCTGTGACCCTCTCCATTTCTCATTTCCAATCACATGTCCGTAAGGGACACTGACAGCTCCTGCTTTGACAGGTGTAATTTCTTTTGCTGTCATTTAAACTCCTTTCCTGTGTTAGTTTAGCAAAAGCTAAACAGGGGAATGTGAAAAATGTTATTTCATCCCAGACCACCCAGCCTCAAAATCCATCCAACAATCTAGTCCAGCTACAGCCATCTACAACAGGTTCTCTAGCCACTCCTCCAAAATGCAACTATATTAGATGGTTAAAATAATAAAACGGGAGGAAGGATATTTTTGTAGTTAAAAAACAGGCCTAGAAATCAGGGGAAGTAGGCTTTATTCCCAGCTGTGCCATTAATTGGAAAAAAAATTAAAGTGTAGCTCCACATTTTCAGCTATCAGCCCCTTGAAAAGCCCTTTCAATTCTTTTAGTCATCTCGAAAGGTTTTTTTTATTTTAAATAGAACAACGATGCAAGATTTGTGAATGCTCAAAAATCCAGAGGCAGGCTCCCTCAAATTAGGAAATTAGTTAACGGCTCCCACTAATTATGGGATTTGCTTTTTTTATTATTATTTTTCCATTTGGTTTTGAGCCTTTTTGGGTTCACATTCCTATGCTTTTCTCTGCAACCCACTAGGGTCAGAAGCTTTGCAAACGCATTTAGGCTCCCCCTGTAATCACATGACTCCAGGAAACAAGACTTTTAAAGAAAAAGAACCAACCATTAGGAGTCAGTGGCGTTGGGAATTTGCAGCTCTGCCAGAAAAAACCACCCACTTTCCCAGGGGCAGACATTCGCAGCACGTGCGCTACAGGACAGGACCCTTCCCGAGAGCCCAGTATGTGGGCGGGGGACCAGTGCACCAAGGGCCCCGGCGGATATGACTCCAGGAAACAAGACTTTTAAAGAAAAAGAACCAACCATTAGGAGTCAGTGGCGTTGGGAATTTGCAGCTCTGCCAGAAAAAACCACCCACTTTCCCAGGGGCAGACATTCGCAGCACGTGCGCTACAGGACAGGACCCTTCCCGAGAGCCCAGTATGTGGGCGGGGGACCAGTGCACCAAGGGCCCCGGCGGATGGGTCAGGGCAGCAGCACAAGCCGGCTGCGGCGCGAGCCACGAGAGGGGTTTCGGGGGCCACCTGGGCACGAGACTGGCCAGTCATTCACAGCAGCACCGTGAGACTATCCCCCCCCCCCGG